TCTAATAGTGTTGGTCAGGATTAAACACGTGTCACAATATGATCCAATCGCAGCTTACCGTCCAAAATTGGTGACATAAGTTGAATGATTTTCTTCAAGATTTGCTGCCTATTTGAACATGTATTACACGGACACTTTTTATCTATAGGATCAATCGTGCATTGGTGAGTTGATAGGGATTTTATCTTTTGATTAGATTTGATTTTTTATATATATTTCCTGTCTTTTTTATTGAAATATAAACGTCGGTACCAGAATTTCTTTACTTTCAGCATTGTCCAGAATACTATTCATGTCCATAAATTGAAAACAAATCAGAAAATCAGGAATCAGAACATTATTTTGTCATCTGCTTGACCACAATATATTTTTTCTTATAACATTGGGGATCAGAATATGTTTTAGGAAAAAAACCATAACCCCATCTTTTGAAGTTAAATGGTCAATCCCTTAGTGTACTGACATGAATAGTAATATACTGGAATTGTTTGAAAAAATATAGTTATTGATGCCAACGTAAATATTTTGATAAAAAAGACAGGAAATATGTCGGTGAAACAAAAAGTTCAAATCTAATTGAAATTTAAAGTGCCCATGAACTCACTGATCATATGTGATTCTATTCATAAAAAGTATCCGTGTAACAACTAAAAAGTGTCCGTGTATCATCTAAAAAGTGTCCGTGTATCATCTAAAAAGTGTCCGTGTAACACCCGTTAAAGAACTGTTCTATTGCTCTGCTGGGGGCAAAGTCGTACAAATATGCTATATATGGTTAATCATATACATGTTCTTGTCTATGGATGTATATTGTTTTCTAATGACTTATGCATATATGTAGAAGATTTTTAAGAAAACAATAAAAAAAAATCTAACTGTTCGTGTAGTATCTGATACCTAAAATGTTTGCTTGTTGGTTGTTTTCTTAAGACTATTGCATATATAAAATATGTGAAACGATACTGATATAAGTCTACAGGAATAAAATTAAAATATCTGATACGATATCTTATTCGTAAATATCATTATCATTGCGCACATTTTTTTCAAAATACACACACAAAATGTCATCAACCTGTTTTTGGTGGTGTTCGTATTTGTTTGGTCTTTAGTTTTTTGTGTAGTAATTTTATGGACTGTTGTTAACCTTAATGTCGTTTTCGTTTTTGCCATGGTATTATCAGTATGTTTTGGACTTTGTTAAATTATTCCTTTGATACCAAAGCTTAACAATAAACACCGTTTGTTCAAATGCAAAATCTAACTAGAGCCCTAAGATAACCTCGAAAAATCCTGTTTTTGCTATTATTTTCGTTTTTTACCGTTAATTAAGCTCATGGACGTTTGAATATTGTTTCGATGTTAGGATATTTTTGGGTCGAACAACTCTGAAGAGACACTTATTGTCGAAAAATCTAAATTTACGCACTCCACAAACATCATCACTGTAAAAAGGTGGCTGTGAAATCCCGTTTGTAAGAGGGTTTCTACAGGAATAGCATAAAATTCTAGATTAAACATTTGAATCAATAAAAGAATAAAGTAAAAGTTTAAAGTAATTTGTGGTAACGAAATCTAATGATAAAAGATAGGCGAAAGAAACTAATGGGACATTTGACTTATAAGTCGAAAATAAAGTGACAACGCCATGGCTGAAAAGGAAAAAACCTACAGACAAACAATAGTACACAATACACAACATAGTATACTACAGACTGAGCAACACGAACCCCACCAAAAACTGGGGGTGATCTCATGTGCTCCGGAAGGGTAAGCACATGTTAGTACAAACCCGGTAATATGTCTAATTTGGTAAGTCATATTCTGGAAAATGGGACGGGATTGTACTTACGACATTACGAACATATCCGCTATCGTCTGTAAAACGGATATTCCATAACATTCAACCAACTCGTGATGGCGTCCGTAAAATTTACGATGGGCTTGGAACATTTGGTTTAATAGCTTTCTTGTGAGCAGAACCCTCTATCAAGGAAATCATGATAAGAAATACGAGCCCGGGAATATCGTATTAACTGGGAGACATTTACTCCGCATGCCGGCGCTGCTGGAATGTTGATACATAGAAATGGAAAGTTCACAATTGGGATGCTTATGTCGTAAAGTTTTGTTTTCAAACGACCCTCATTGTCAATAACTTGATGTAAGTCAATATATGAGGCAGACTTAATATTCTGTTGTATTCTTTATCTCAATTTCGATGGGATAGATGCGTTCAAATTTTGAATTATTTAGTGAGAGAAAATCATCTATATAGCGAAAAGTGAAGTTAAAGAATACTGCTAACTTCTTTTCTTTATATTAAGAAGTTCCTGTGTGAAGTCAGCCTCATATGAATAAAAGAAAAAAAAGAAGAAGGGAACAAAACTGAATATAAGTTTATATGTGAATAAAACAATGAATGATGTTAAATAACAAAAACAATTTCCGAAAGAGATAGAATGCTGATTTTGAACAGGCCTGTTTTACAAACTTTGTCATAAAGTCCACTGCAATAGTGTTACATCATTCCCTTTAGAATAAAATTTAACAAAAAACATTTTTAAGAACAAATTTAGCAGGTGGATGCAAACATATCCATGTAATGTTAAAACTTCCTCTTCCTCGTCAACGATACATTATGATTCGTTGAAATTGATATGAATGGTAACCAATTAGACGCCTTAGCTACCGTTCATAAAGTTGAAATTTGATATTTACATTGTAGATTGGAGTATGATATATCAGTGTCCTTGTGATGTTTTCTTGGGTTTTATTGCAATTAAAGGGGATCAAATTTAGACGTAAAATGACTAAGATTTAATTACGGTCGATTTAGATCCAATAATGGCTGCCTCGTTGTTATGTATGAAATATATTTTCTATACCCAGTATGAACGTTACTAGCCTGTTTTATATAGAAAACATTCCATTACTAGTACTTTTATTATACAAGTCACTGCACACATAAATATTAGGCATGCCGTGAGAATGTAAATATTGTCAAACCTTTTCATTTATTAATAAATTTATTTCTAGTCATTACTTTAGCTAGACTCAATTTAGCAGCCACTCTATTGTACATTTATATCAGTGTGATGGCTTAAATTAAGCAGATTTTTTTTCATCTTTGATATTTATTCTCAGTTATTGTGTGAAAAATGGGACAACAAACATATTTAAAAGAAAAAAAGTTGTTGATGAGGATGGTGTATTTTAGCGTAACGGCCAGTGGAAAATATTACAAAATTAACATGCATTTAAGGACGAATACATGTTTAATATGAACATTGTTTTGTGCTTATCTGACACGCTGAGTCATGATTCTTTGTGTGCGAAAGATCACACGTTTCCCTTCCTGGACACATTAGTCTGACTCCGAGCCGATTTGTCTTTGCTAAAACAGGTGGCTGGGTCTACTTTTTTATATTGTATATATAATATTCTGAAAAAAGTTACCAAACATCATCAAAATTACGCTACTTGGTCACTCTTCAAAAATATTTCGATATTTGAGTTCTTGTATTTATATACACAAACAGCATAGATAACAACATTCAGTTTGGTATGATTTAAGAGAGGTGACAATACATGTTTTATTTCACATGTGAAAAACGGTTTTATTTAAAGGAAAAATCACAGAAATGTTTTTCAACCAATGAGTGACTATCAGTTTTGTTCGATCACGGTGGAATATTTTTCGATATTTGCATTCTTGGGTAAGTTATTTTTGTTTTTTCATCGACTTTTGAGTAAATGAAGTGGAAATGCAGGGATCTTATCTATTTTAAACATATTTGTCCCCATTTGAGCTATATATTTTATCATCACAAACAATTCGATGCGGTATGATTTCCAATGAGACAATTTAAAACAAAAAGTACTCTTGCAATAACAGGGCGTCCGTCGTCGCCCAATAAATCTTAGAAATCCCTTAATCTCTGAAATCCATCGCCAGGTCTGAACAAAACCAAGCAACAACGGATGTTTACAATAATATTTGAGTTGACCACTGATATGTTTCACTTGTCATGACTACAATTCCGTCCCGATGGTGACATTACCATTGTGATTTAAATCTAGTATGAACAACACGACGGGTGGCACTAGTGGAGCAGGAAACTGTTTCCATGGCATCTGTGTTCACCTTTAGCTTTTTTTGCTTTAACGGGGTTCGTGTTGGTTTTGTTTGTTTGTTCAGTCTAACAATTATATTTTGTGCAATATTATTTTTCAAAGTGTGTGTTTTCTCAACAGGTAGAAGTCTCGTTTATCCTCGCCATGTACACATCTTGTTTCAAATTTTTATATTCTGTTAACAACGTTGTGTTACATAATTTACATGTATCAATGTTTTGTTTTTGTATTTGCCTATGTCGTAGGATAAGACCATAGACAGTTTTAATCACTAGTGGAACAAGCACTGCTGGCCCTTCAGGACCACACGAGTCCACCCTTAGATTTTTGTGGGGTCATTAGTTCTTTCTGAGCAAGTTTTTTTTAAAAAAATTCGTCTTTTCGTCGTATTTCTTGTGGTGATAGTGTTACTGTTGGACTTCTCGCTCGTTTTCTACCCAAGCATAATTTAAGAATCTCTCTTTCGTCAGGTCGATAACAAAGAATTCAAAATAAGATCCTGAATACTGAACTAGATATCGAATGTATTTACTATTAGTATGGCATATATTTTTGTCACCAGTAACGGAAGGTGACAAATTTAAAGGCATATATGTCAAGAGAACCAATGAAAAAGATTCACACAAATGTACATAAAAGTATCTATTATTATCTAAATAGGCTGGACCTCTCCCTATCAACATACGGGTATCTCAGACACCATTGTTGTCAACTGTCAGAGCCAAACAGACAAAGGACAGGGAACCAGTCTATCATCTAAATATCCTATCTGGTTGATTAATTTAATATCAAAATGTTTATTATGCATCTATGAAGTCAGGCTTGATAAAACTAGTATAGTCAGAGTTAAATATATGCAAATGTATGTATAAAAGAAATAATTTTAATCAATAGAAGTCAATGTTTCAAATAATATTAAAGTAATCTTTGCACGAGTAGTTAGAGTCATTGCAATGTAGCTCACACTTAAAACATTTCACTAGACAGATATCCACACAACGCTTGTAATTATCATAAAGCTGAACGAATCTACAATTATCAGAACATCCAAGGGCAGTCGTAATACATTGCTTTGTGCAGATAACAGCGGATGTTCTTCCTATCAATATCAAGACGATACAAACTATGGTAACACTTGTCCTAAGTTTCAACCCCATCTGGAAAAAAATTAAAGTTACTATAATTAATGTATTTAAAATTGAAGTCTAGTGTTCTCAAACGTTCTCAACGTTCAATGTTTCCTTCATTCAAAGGCACCGTTAAAAGATTTTTTTATCTTTATTTTTAGCAAAAGATTGGTAAAGTGTGAATAAACATTTTGGTGCACATGTTCCATTTTCTTGTTACAAAAGAAATTATCTAACTCCTTGTTGAAAGTGTACACGGCATGGATTTTATAATTAACTGCAAGTTTTCAGTGTATTGTATGTCGTCTGTTTTTTTTCTTGAAATATTACTTGCTGTTATATGGCGTCTGTTATAATTCTTGGAGTATGACTTGCTGTTATGACATATAAAACATATTTCTCTACATATATACATTTTTTTATAAATCGGTTATTTATTTATAATGCAATATTTATAACCTATAAAAAGAGACTGAAAACATGTAAAATACTCAGAATTAAATTTCTCTACCACGAACAGGTGCATGTCCAAAAGACTTTTGTTTTTTCACTTGACCAATTTCTAAAATGTTTTACCAAATTGCAGTTTTGATTCATCTCTACAAACTGATCAACTGTTACAGTAGTTCAAATAATAGTGACGTCATCGAAGGCTAATTGTTTTTGTAGTGACCCTTTCCTTAGACGTCATAAGGCTGTTCAACCATTTTTTTATTCCGTCGCCACTGATGAGTTTCATATAGACTAAACTCGTCCTTGTCGTTCCAAATTTTAAGCTTGGTAACTTTGATGAGATTTTTTTTGCATCGATTTTAATGGTGATCGGAGATTTCTCAAAAGCTTATTATAGACTTAGTAGATAAACCATATAAAATAATAGTCTGTCAATAACTTATTGATTTATCAATGATGCACCTTTGCTTTAAGTTTTTTATCAAGTATTGTATAACATAAGGAGATGTAACATGCTTGATAACGAGACAAATATCCACAAGAGACCAAATGACATTGATGTTAACAACTATAGGCCTTCAACAATTCAACAATGTTTAAAGCCCATACAGCATAGTAAGCTATAAAAGGTCCCGATATAACGAAATGTAACACAATAGAAAAATAAATACACAACATATGATACGCAGCATCAAACTACATGCTCCGGACGGACACAAAAAGAATTAGGCCGGTTTACACATGTTTGCGGGCGCCAAACCCTCCCATAATCTGGGACAGTACTAGTGATGTTACATCTGGTTTCAAAAAGGGTTAAAGTAAGAAGTAAACATTTATTATTTTAAATCAAATGATTAAAGTAATTCGATAAAAATTAAAAATGGAAGTATTGTCATTACTCTATGGCTTGCTTGATAACAGAAGTATCTTTACGATTAAGACCTCAAACCATTTAAAAGAATTGGCTTGTGAGGTTGCCTATTATTCTCGCTGATAAGTTAAAAAAATGAAACCTCCAAATAACATATGTTGTATAACCTCATTTAACCTCATATCTTATTCATATCCGATTACAAAAAGTAAAAAAAATACAGGAATGTAATTGGAAGAAGACAGAAATTACCAAGGCCAAATGAAATGGCTTAAATAACACACAACCGCCAACAAAACAGTACAATAATTAGACATTGAACAAAATGAAGCAAACATTGATGTGAAGTGCTCCGGAAAGAGTGGCAATTTTCTGATAAAAAAAACGCTTCAAAATCGTACATTTTAAACAGATCTTAATTCATCTCACAATAGTCTATTAAATAGATTAAATCCTATTTACCTTCAATCAAAGTGTTAATGGAGTGACGATATTGTGACTACTGAAAGTAAGTAAAGTTACAATTAGTTTTAAAAGGAAACAATAAACGGATGAACGTCAACAGTTACAAAAGGAAACACTTAATGACTCCTTTTTACGCACTTTCATCTCATTGGACATTTCGTGATAGGATTTTTATCAAATATAATTGCTGCTCTAATCTTAATATTAACGGTAGATCTTAAGTTGAGACAATCTTGGCACTTCCAGAAACTTTTTCTTTTATTACTAATTATTTGATTGATTGGTTGATGGGATGTTTTTATGCAAATTTCAGCACTTTTGGCTATTTCGTGGCGGTCAGTGGAGGAAACCTGAATTCCCGGAGAGAATCACCGACCTTCGTTAGGAATTCTTCTTTGTTGTGTATTGTATGGGTTATAATCAAAATGCTTTTCCATATGCGAATAATGCTTCAAATAAACATCGATATCCTGTTTTTTGTTTGCGATATCAAGCGTGCGATGTGTTCGTAAAATGTAAATAAAACGGAGGTGTGAGGTGAAAGTTAATGAGACAAAACACAATATTTCGATCCTAATTGCAAATTTCAGAGCTTTTTTCGTTCGAAATTCGTCTGGAACAGGTCGGGACCACTTGATTTCTGACGTCAGGAATATAACAGTTGTTATCCATTCGTCGATGTTTTTGAGCATTTGATTTTGACCTTTGCTTAGGGACTTTCCGTTTAGATATTAGGTATTTTTGTTATTTTACTTTTTGCATAGTAATTTCCAAGAATCATATTCAATCAAAATTCGTTTTCAAGATTCAACATTTAGTTTTCAACATTCGAGTTCAACTTTCAATACTTATTTTTTTTCAACATTCGATTTCAACATTCGTTTTAAAATTCAACATTCATTTTCAACATTCAACACTTGTTTAGAACGAATCTTGAATGTTGAAAAACGAATGATGAAAATGAATGTTGAATGTTGAAAACGAATGTTGAATATTGAAGTCGAATGTTCCAAAAAAAAAAAAAATGTTTTGAAAAAAATTTAGGGAAAAAAAATAGTATATTGATTGGACTTCAACTTCATCAAAAACTACCTGGACGAAAGACTTTAACCTGAAGCGGGACAGACGGACGGACGGACGGACGGACGAATGGACACACAGACCGAAAAACATAATGCCTCTAGGTGGGGCATAAAAAATGGGAATATTTACGTTGAATGTTGAATGTTGAATATTGACCCAACTTGACATCCAAAACAATACAATTATTAAAGCAATATGAGGCAATAATTGCAGTCTAGTGCTCCGGAAAGAAGAGCAATTTGGTCTACTAAAACTCGTCAATATCGTACATTCTAGCTAACTAATAGTGTAATAGATTAAATCATATTAACCCTCAATTGAAATTTTAATGGAGTGACGATGTTGTAACTGTTAAAATCAAGTAGCGTTACATTGATTAAAAAAGGAAACTAGACGGAAGTATGATAAATTAAAAACGAGGGATTTAAATTGTCACCTTATTACACACTATCATTTCCTTGTTTGATATTTGGTGATATCATTTTTATGAATAAAAATTATTGCCCATATATGTCTTTCATGGGTAGATCTTTAGTGTTTAGACAATCTTGAAACTTTTAAAATGTTTTCTATGATGTTTATTATATAGGTTTAAATCAATTGCGTTTCCGGATGAGAATAATGCTAAAAAATAAACTCCGCTACTTAGTGTTTGTTTGCTGTGTTTTACGAATTGTTACGAGCGTATTACGGAATGTTACTATTCATCGAAGCTTTTTAACACGTGTTATTAACGACCTGTTTACGTGTGGTAACGAATAGTTAAGAGTTAGTTACGAGCATTTAAGAGTCCTTCTGATCTGCATCTTTTATACCGTTCCCCAAATCGTAAAGTATACAATCATATATATTGATAAAGCACTCGTTACTACACGTTAAGTGCTCGAAATAACTAGTTACAATACGTAAAGATCGTAACGAGACTCAAATGAAATCGTAACCAACACGTAAGTACTCGTAATGATACATAAATAATCTGTATATACATAGTACACTAACAGTAATACATCTTAAAATAAAATTGTAACGAGTAATTTCCGAATTCTTGCAAGCAGTTTACGAATGATTACACGTTGTTGGGAACGGTTAACGAGCGCTTTATGATATTTACGGATTGTTTCGAGTTATTTACGGAAAGGTAAATCCGTTTACAATCGTAAGAAAATTTTTTACGTGACAAAAACGTTGCCTCTCGTTTCATGTCTCCTTAAGAGTGTATGCTATGTATGGCGAGTTATTATTGAATGATTACGATTGACTATATATATAGCTACGAGTTGCCGATCTGTGTGGACTTGTAAACAAAATCCGTATATGTGAAAGGAGCAAACGGCACGCTTAAAATGCACTCATTTTGATTTCATGGAACAAAAGAGTTCTGGAAAAAACAATCGTTTAACGATTTAAAGTTTTACAAATACAAACAGACTTACTTAAAGATCACCTTTTTAAGTGCATATAGTATTTGTTTTCTCTTTCGGACTGTTATAATATTTATCAAAATTGTATGCTTCCCTTTCTAATTAATGTATTAAAGTTTTCTTGCCAGATAATCTAACAAACATATTTAAGTGGATATGGTTGTCTCAATTTTTGTTATATTTCTGTAAATTACGTTGAGATTGTTCATAAAAAGAAGATGTTTGTATACGCAAATGGCCCGAGAACACAGTTATTTCGTAGTGCATTTCTTTTAGACAATAAATTAAAATTAAAAAAATCGCACCTGCTCTATCTGAAAAAGATTTTTACAGTGTAGTGTACTACTATTGATACAAATAATATCAAAATTATAGAAACTTCTACCAGCTCTAACTCAAAATATTGACAATTCTATGTTAAGGGGGGCTAAAATTCAGTTTGACAGCTTCAGACATTCTAATTTTTGACCTTTTTTAACTGGACCAAATCACTACTTAACATAAAGATTCAGCACCCAAATTTTTTTAACATGTAATTTCATCCCCTTACTTAATATTTCATGCATAAAATATCAAGAAATAAATTGGGAAAGTGTATCAAAAAAAAAATGCAAGTTATACACTGTTCACACTAGGGACTATATTCGTAGACAACGAAAACCAAAGGACGATAACTGTGTCCTTGGACCTAATAGGATAGAAAGACTTGACCAATTTTAATAAAACTTTGCATGACCTAAGCTTAGGCAATTATAAGATAGTTGGCTAAGTTTCATGGCCATAGGATATATATTATAGAAACTAGGGCCATTTTAATATTGAAATTTGGATGTTTATTTTTGACGTTTAAATCAAATATTTTCAACTGTCAAGATTTTGGCCTAAAAAATTTAAATATTGCAAAAATTTGCTTTTTAAATACTCTTGAATTTAATATAATAAGTATTAAAAGCAACGGAACACTCATTTGATTTATCAGATTTATTACAGTTATTCAAAAGTCAAATTTATATGAGCCTGTGCCTGAAAATAGAGATTTTCGAATTAAGGGAAGCCTTACATAAACATGCATTTTTTTCAACCAATTTGAAGTTTTTGAAGTTTTTTAACCATACATTATTCTTCCATATATATTAAATGTACTTTAAATGTAAAGAAAAGTTACAAAAAGCATACCACATGAGTATAAAATGGTCTTAGGCCATGTAAGACTGAGAATTATTTAGAGTCGATTTAGGCCGTAGCCCATATTTACAAATAAAAATGCACACAGAGGCTATAAGAAATTGAAATTTGTTACTTTTTGCTCATTTCTATGCTAAGATGTCATGATACAAGAAGTCTAATTGCAAAAGGACTCTTGAAATCAACTTTTTTTTGCAGACAGTATGGTCTGATGATCAGTTTTTCACTTTTCAATGGAAAACTTGCATGTAGTTTTAGTCTCATTTGGCATATATTTGAACCACTTACTATCCTAAAGAAGAAAAATTATGGTAGCATATGAAATGAATAGGGTGTACTGATCATTGTAAAGTGGTTTTTTTACAGATTTAGTGAAATATTTGTGATGGACTACAGATTTTATGTACAAAGCTCTTCACATTTCACATACATCAAACAGGCCGTTTAACCAGGGACATAAATACAAATATTCTGCACATTTTTTCTGTGATAATCTACTTTTCTCTAGATTCCGAGTTCACAAATGGTTAATTAAATTTGATTTAAGCATAGAAACACAAATATCAGGAACATAAAAAGCTGTCAGATAGAAAGTCAGCATGGCTCTTAGGCATAAAATGGAAACTGCTTTAAAATGCTTATTTTAGCCGTATAATGCCAAAATGGGACATTTAAACAGAATTTCTGTCAAACAAAGATGTAAATGCTTTACTTTTATTGAGTTTGAAAAATTGAAACCAGCAAACCATTCAGGAAAGTTGCCAAAGTACAGAATCTACATTTACGGAATTCATCTCTTAGGCCCGAGAACACAGTTATTTCGTAGTGCATTTCTTTTAGACAATAAATTAAAATTAAAAAAATCGCACCTGCTCTATCTTAAAAAGATTTTTACAGTGTAGTGTACTACTATTGATACAAATAATATCAAAATTATAGAAACTTCTACCAGCTCTAACTCAAAATATTGACAATTCTATGTTAAGGGGGGCTAAAATTCAGTTTGACAGCTTCAGACATTCTAATTTTTGACCTTTTTTAACTGGACCAAATCACTACTTAACATAAAGATTCAGCACCCAAATTTTTTTAACATGTAATTTCATCCCCTTACTTAATATTTCATGTATAAAATATCAAGAAATAAATTGGGAAAGTGTATCAAAAAAAAAATGCAAGTTATACACTGTTCACACTAGGGACTATATTCGTAGACAACGAAAACCAAAGGACGATAACTGTGTCCTTGGACCAAATGGTGACTGCAGCGGAATTACACAGAACAAGAAAAGACGTCTAAAAGGTCAAAATATGGTCTGCTTAATCGGATCAATATCCAAATATTTCGTCATTGATATATATATTTTAA